AATTTTAGAAGCTCAGATTTTGGTGCTGCCAGATAAGCTTATTTATCTCATCTGTACTGAGGCAAACTGTTCTGACTGTCTTAAGGCTGCATGAACATTTCTGAGTGAATATGGTAAACATCTATTAAGGTACAGATGATTTGAAAAATGTCACAGTGACCAAAGAATATAGGATAGTGTGATGATCAGGGTCTTTGGGTTTTTACCATCAATGCCAAGGGTATGATTCCACCGCAGTTTGCAATTTATTGTATCTGTGATAAAGCCAACCATATATTCTAAAATTATGAATTCATGGGAGAACTGAATAGCACTTACCAAATAAATTTCAGTTTCTTTCTCATAGATTGTAAGACATGATATCATGGAATATTATACTAGGTCTTTGGTGTAGGCTTTGGCTAATAGATCTTGAAAAGCTTTGAAATATAAATGAGGTAAAATTCCAACATGTCACGTGAGGTCTGTCTTCTACCTTGTTCAGGCCTGATATAAGACATAGATATCCTCGGTGTCCTAGGGTATCATTGTTAGAATTATAACCACAGAGTAATTTATTTTATTTTTTCTATTTTTTAAATGTATTTGGTACAGGATCTCACTATGCACTTGGACTTGTAATGATTCTCCTGTTTCAGCCTTCCCAGTGCTGACATTGCAGGCGTGCACCACCATGCCTGGTGTCAGTGGCCCTCAAGGCCCTCCTCGGTGGAGCCAGTACAGCATGTGGTACCAGAGATCAAACCCGGGTCTTTACCCTTGCCTAGGCAGATGCTTAGACTCCTGAGCTATTTCTGTAGTCCCAGTGCACAATAATTCTTTATGAAGATGTAGAAGAGAGATTTCTCTAAGGTTTCAGTGTTAGTTTTCAAGTTTTAAGGAGTTTGCTTATTTTCTGGGCTCTATACTTTATAACTGACAGTGCATATTATTTTGTCTGGCCTGCTTAGAAGACTGATGCCCAGTTTTGCCCCATTCTTGCCTGGTTTCATCTGATTTTCTCTACTATTTTCCTATCAACCCACCTCTTCTGTACAGATTTTTGAAGTGTGATCATACATTATTCTAAAATGGTCTCTTCTTTCCTGAGATGAGCCAGAATACACATTTCTAATTAAATAACAATGACAGAAAATAAAATAGTATCAGTACAAACTGACCACAGGGAGGGTCCTGCTGCCCAGTTGACTGCCCCACCCCCTCCATGGAGCTTAAAATCGAGGCTGAGCCTCCATGAAGAGGCCAAACAGCTAAGTAGTTTAAAAGCATCTGTACTAAAAAAGAACTCTCATTGAAGTCAATTAATTGATATTGAGAAATCATGGCAATTAGAGAAGTTATAATGTTCTTCAAATAAAAGAAAATCACATTTGGCAAAGTTGGAAGAAAAGGCGAGAGCTCAGTGAAAGCCGTCCTATCTATTAATAATGGAGGAAAGCTTTCTTTTCTCCTGTTATCATTGTAATGTGATGCATAAAGTGATGTTAGAATTGGTGTGGATACACTGTAACACTAGAAATTGCTGGAGAAGAATTAAGTTAATTCTAGACTATTTGTAGATACCAAGGTCCTTTTTATATGAAAGGATCTTAGCATTAGGCTTTCTAAATGTAATGCTTTATTAAGCTTTGTTAAAGGAAAGTTTGAACAACTATATATGTGTTTTATGAGCAAGATATTTCTACTATTATTTCTATTGACAATAAATATTCAGTGCTTTATCTTTTTATTTGTGTTATATTTATCTTTGGTCAATTTGTACAGTATGTTACAGTTTCAAACATATGCTTTGCATTTCCAACATCTCATAGCTGAAGAAGAGATTTTTTTAACTTCAACAACATGAGTTAAATACTCTTTTCTGGGATGGTATAAAAAATAAAAGCTAATCTCTCTATTAAAGATGCCCTAGAGAAAGAGAGAAAATAATTCAGTAGAAGATTTTAATATAAATGTCTGATTGATTCTCAGTATGATTTTTAAAACACAGTGTTGAACCATTTGTCTCTCATTTTAAACCAGAAATAATGAAGCAACAAAAAATATGCGATCATATAAATTCATTGAGTGAAAGAATACTGATAGGCTTTGCCAGTGACTTACCTGTATTTATGCTATATATAATTTATAATGTCTTAAATATAAACTAATTCAAACTATCCTTGGAAAGAAGATATTATTTGTCATACTGAATAAGAATTATTGGGGATAAGAATTTTGTTCAAGATTATTTAGAAAGCTACAGAGTAAAATATAAACCAGATTTTTTTAAACATGAAATGAGAAAGTCTGACACTAAAAGTCTCCATTATTTTTCATCTGCTTCTCTCTAACCTTGACTTTTTAAAAAACTGTCCAATATTAAGGTTTCTTTTCCTCTGAAATTAAGTAATTTGATTATTAGAAATCAGAGAAAAACAATTAATGTTCAAGTGATTATAATAAACACAATCTCCAAACATCTCCTTAGCTGTCAAA